TTTTGCTTTTTCTTTATTTGGCACATTTCCTCAATTTACTCTCCTGATGAAATGCTTTGTCTTTTCCCATTACAGCAGTAGCATCTGCTTTATCTGTTACATTTTTCATCTTTTTCTGTCCTTCCCTACAATGCTTTTCACTAGTGGTTTAGCTTCTGCTACTCCTTCTGTTCATTCTTCCTTTTTTTTTATTCTTATCATTTTGGAATTCTCCCTTCTCTCGGCAAAAGGCCACATTTTCTGCCTGTGATTTTCTCCAGTTATGACACTTGCAGTTTAATAACATTGCTGCTGAGCTAATCCTGGGCTGCTGAGTCACTTTCACCTGTGTTTGACAAAGCTTCAAATGAAATCCTTGGCATCGATCTGAGCTTTCTCACAGGATCTTTCTGCAGTTCTATTTTGCGCTGTTTGCCAAGGCTGACTACTGCTTGAAGTCACTAGTTGGCAGTTTCATTTACAGATTAGCAATGCCAAGACTCTGTTCATTGGTACCAGTGGTACTTTGGAGTAACTGTGTCTTGGACAAATGAGTTGAATTTTGCTTTGTCGCTTATCAAACATGCAAGTTTGCATGAGTAACTACAATGCTGTCCAGAAGAGGAATGAAATCTAAACTCTACCGTCCTACTTCAGGTCACACCCTGTGCTGTATTATTAAAGAAGGAGGATACCAGAGTGTGATTCTTTCTTGTCTGTCCTCCCAGGTTCCAACAATAAAAGTTAAGGACTTCCTGCACCAGATGTTTCACCAAAACCCTGTGTTTCAACAGCCAGTAATGGAAATATCTTTCTAAACTCTATTTGAATTGATTTATACTTTGGGATCCATGTTATTTTTGGCCTATGAGTGACATATAGCAACTTCAAGTTCTGTAAAACACCTATTTGATATTTTTTAACCACTTGAGAGATGCTTTGAACACCCTCTAGTGATATCTTAAGAGGAACCATGATACTTGTTCACATGTCAACATGTCTGTTTTACATGGTTTTATACTGTATTTCCTCAGTCATCTCTTGGTTACCTACAAGAAGTGTAGCTTGGCCCCTTGAGATCATAATTTTTAAAAGCTTTTGGTGTCAAACCTTAGCAGAAGTACTCTCATATCCACATGCTCATAACCCACCTTCACAGAGCCATAAATATATTTGTAGGGTGTCACATTCTCACAAAAGCCCACTTCCCACACTCATCCATGGAACAAGTAGTTCTATTTTTTATTACCATTCCTATGAATTTGCAAGTTGTGTAAGTTGGACCTACTGATCTTTAGTACTTGTCACCATCAAGGGAAGTCTTTGTAAACACAGATGTCACATTTCCTATCTTCCATTCTTCCTCTACTGCTATTAATGTAAGCAGTAGCTCACTCCACAGCAAATACTTCAGTAGTTTTGCAGAGCTCTTTCAGAAGCCTGAAGAGGACTCTTTAAAGGAACCTTCAGAAGTTCTGAAAGAAAAGACCTGAAACTTCAGAGACTTCTAAATGTTCCTCTAAAGAGAACTCTTGCTTTTAGAAGCCAGCCATCTGGCTTGATGTAGGTTTTGCCTATTTATTACCATTCATTTTGTCAAAATCTTTCACTCATTGAACCACTTTGGTAGCAACTGTTGAAAACAGTTGAAAACTGTTCCTATTTCTATGTTCTTTGGAAGAGGACCACTAGACCTTTTTTAAGTACTGTTTGGTCATAATATGTGTAACCACTGTGCAACAAATATCGAAGTATCTCTCCCCTAAAATACTTCAGATGTGCATCTGCTCTTACTGATCTGTTGAATATTTTGCATCATGATCTAAAGGGTCCTTATCATTCTCTGAATTATACTCACAATATCACAGTCAAAATGCCAGGGGTGTTTCTTCCCAAGGTGCTTTCTGTTTGCAGATCGTAACCTCTCAGGACCTTAGTTAACATTTACCAGAAGCCTCTAGAAACTACAAGCACTAAGTAGTGTTTTGCACAGTCACTTTTCTACAGTGGTAGTCTGATCCCATTTGCCTTCTCATTTTACTGAGCTCATTTTACTGATCAATAAATGTACCAAAATGCCACATATCTACTCATCATTCTTTCCAGCACTGTGGCCTTAACTTATACATTATTCTTAACCCACATCCTTTGCTCTTCTAATAGACTGAAGATAGTTCCTTGATAAGGTAGCAGTACGCAGTTCTTTCTGTTAGAAAGCTGCACCAAAGATTACTTTTTGCAACTATTTGAATATTATAGTGCCATATGTAAGACAGAATCCCAAAAATGTTCTTCTCTGACAACCACCCAGCGCAATGGAAATGAGCAGTTTAACAGAGTAACTTTAATCACAGACAGATATACTAACCTAATTAAAATTTGTTTCACTACCAGCTGGAAATTCTCAAAATGAAGATACTTTGAATATATTTCAGTATCTGTTCTTTCATTAGTCTTCCCCCTTGGCGGAGAGTACACAACCAGTTACTTCACTCCAAATTTGTGCCATTATCCAATGTAACTAGAAGTTTTCTCATGCAAATCCTCATTGTTCTCAGTGTGTTTGCCCTCCATACAGCTTCTCATTTAATGGTAATCACACAAGATCTTTTTCTCTTTAAAATCATGCTGTACCAACAAGATAAAGAACATAAAAGGAATCCAAGAAAAAAACTCAGCTGAACGACATGAAAAGCAATGGAACATCTATTTATCAGTTTCTATTCCTTGAAAACATTGATCATGCAGGAAAGGACTGTTCATCACCAATTTTTTTTTTTTTTTTGTCTCATTTTTCCTCCCCTTTTCCTTGTGGGATATACGGTTAAAGCAAAGCGAACACTCTTCTAAGGTAGCAAATTATAAATGAATCCATCTCTGTTCAACTGAATGAAATGCAATGTCTCAAAGGCATCACATTCTTTTCTGGAAAAAAAAAGGGTTTGTTTTACGTCCAGCTCTCATTCAGATGTTATAATGTAAGTAATCTAGAAGAAAATAAGCTCAATCTTTTTCATAAAGACTGAAAAGTTCTTTAGAAACAAGGCAAGGTGTGTATGTGCCTCTCTGGTATTGACTTATGGCTTGGCTTCGCGAACGAAGATTCGGGAAAGGCTTTACCCACACTTATGACAAGTGCAATGATGACTAAAAGGGCAACATAGGACAGGCAAATCCGGTTGGAAAAAAAAAACTGCTTGGTCATTCAGGATGTTGCCAAATAAGACTGTCATCTCCTGGGTCAATCTTGAGTGACCAATGTCCTGAAGAGCCTGCATGCAGGGTTGGGTCTGTGGCTTCCAGTGCACCTTATCACCTGCCATTTCATCCCTCGCCTGTCGCTACAGGGCTTTGCAAGTGCGAGTAAACCCTTTGGGCCTGCGCAGTGGGGTATTACTTAGGTATTAAATATTCAGATCCCATCTGCTTCTTTTCTCATGGCCTACTTTGGAGAAATGGCTAATCATCACAAAAGTAAAAATGCATCTTTCATTACTAGCAGGCTTTGTGAAAGACAAGATTTCTGTAGTACGTTTAATAAAGATGTATCTTTTTCTTACTCTAGTGGATATGTGTATCAGAAGACACTTAAGTGTACAAGTGCAAGAGTGTACGCAATTTTACTCATCTGAGATCTCTAACTATGTATCAGAAAGCACAGAAATTTCTTACAAAACGATCAATATTTCAGTGTGAAATAATAATCAAGCCAAACTTGCAATACCTGCATATCAAGTGATCTAAGTGATTTACTCTGTTTCACTTTGCAGGTCTAGAAGGTAAAGTTTTGCAAGAAATGCTTCTTTCAGGATCATGTCTATGACATTAAAATCGAGTTACATTACTATGTGGACTAAAACCTCATAAAACTGGAATGAAGTTCTCCTAAGTTAATGTTAAGCAAATGAACAGATGCCTACAACAGATCTTTCACAATGAAAACTTTATAAATACAATTAAGTCTGTCATTTGAATCATTCTATGCAATATCATTAAATACAAAGACTGTCAGAAACAGAAGAGAATAAAACAAACACTCTTACTGCTCATTCTGTGATTTCCTGCCAGGATATTAAAGTCTTTCAAAATGAACCACGCATTTGTAACACAGACACTGTAGGAGTAGGACTGCGGGACCAAGCATACCAAAAACCCAAAAGGAAATGCTCATCTAGCTATGGAAAGTGAAAGAAGCTATCGGTTTCAACAGCATAGCATACTACTGTGTGCACGTCTACATCTCCCAAATACAGGTAGCAAATATGTACCAGCTTCTACTTCTTTTTTTCCTTTTCTTTTTTTTTTTCCTAATTTGGAAATTTCAGAGAATATTCTGCATTTACTGAGGCAACAGTAAATGGCATCTTACATGTTAGAAGGCTTCAAGTGAGGTAAAAGCAAAAAGTTCATTAAGTTAGTATATAAAACATAACCACAGCCTGCAAGAGCAATTTATAAACACTCCTTAATATATTCACACTTTAGATAAAAAAAAATCTTTGACCATGGAATCAAGATTAAACTCTCTAGGAACCAGAATTATTTGGAAAGATTTCTCTTTGATACAATTACCTTCCAGCTAGTCTCTCGAATTCATTGAAACTAAACATCATTCCCAGCAGCAGCAAACCAGACTTTCAAGATCCCGAGATTATAAATACCCACGTGCCTCCTTAGATACCCATGTAATTGGCCTGATTTTCCAAAACTACTTTGAACATAGTAGTTTCCTTGATTTTTGCTGATCATCCATAAATGTAAGCAGATTTCAGTGGGAGACATATATTGCTCAGATTCCCAACATACCCCACAAAAAAAACCAACAAAAACCACATTAACAATTTAGGTACCTCCATGCCTAATGCAAAGCATTTGTGTTTGTAAATCACACCCTGTCCTTCAGTTGAGCTCCTCACTTGAGAAACTGACTGCCTCAGTCAGTTATAACATGAGAAGCTATAACATAAATGAGTCCGTACCACACCATGAGTCGAATATCAAAGTAAAACATGTCTGCTTACCTTTGCCTTGCGAAAATGGTAGACTACCAGCATGCTTATGAAGTCCAGCAGCATACAGAGAGTTTGGAATGAGATGATAGCCAGCCGTAAATACTTGTCCTCCTGTGCATAGCAGGGAGTATCATCTGTACAGTAAGAACACCCTTCCCTGCAGGGCAGGCAGGTATAGACTTCCTCTGACAATTCACCACCGGAAAAGCGATTTTCTGCATCCTTTCCTGAAAGATTCAGGAGAGTAAAGGGGAGACACCTTTAGTTGTATGGGATGGGCAGTTCAGCTATACAGGAGAAGAAGTCCTGTGCTGACTCTCTCTCCCTCCCTGTTGGCCTCTATGAGTTACAAAATGGCTTGCCTTGACTGCTTTTCTTGTTCACTCTCCTTTTGTCACATTCAGAAAACAGACCGATTTAGACATAAGGGAAAGTGATCTTATTAATTGCCAAACACTTTCCTACTGAATTTAAAGTGGGCTAAATCTGCATGGGAATCCTTCAAAGGCGAAAAAATTACATCAAAGACTTGGGAATAAGGAAAGGACTTTACACAGGCACAGGAAGAGCAGACCCATTAACTACTTAACGTTCACAGTACAAGCTCTGATCCTATTTCAGATTGTTCCTCAATTTCATAAATACGCTATCTAGTGAATTAATTGTCTTCAAATTAGATAAAACCCTTCTTAATTAACATTTGTTCATTGTTCTGTTGCATGATTGCACTACTCTGTCTCCAAAGCAAAACCAGTGCACTTACACTAAGCATAATTCTCCATTATTCATACAGCACTCCAGGAAATCTGGAAAACCTATTGGCAAGTTAGTATTTCATCTACAAAAATCAATGATTCTTGGGCTGACATCTTGTCCATCAAAGTGCACACAGCAACAGAGCACAGAGGGGGATTCCTGTTTTTTCTGATCCACAAATACTTGCCCATAACCCCTGTGTAAGACTGCTTACCCTACAGGCAACAAATTGAATAAAAAGGTAAAAGAAAAAGGGGACAAAAAAAAAACAACCCAAAAACTATTGTTAAATAAGAAGGAAAACTGAATTTGCTGAGGATGTTTCATGTAAGCAAGACAGCCTTAGGAACTTCCAGAAGGAAGAGAACGTGGCTGAAGCCAAATCAATGGTGTGTTAAAATGTGCGATGACATCCCTATTTTTCACAAGACTTCACCAGTCTAGCTCCACAAAGAGATCTTCTGTCAAAACTGCTTGCAGGATTCATATCTAGAATTCCTGTACTGGTATCAGTTTGAACCTCCAAACACATACTACAGCCATTCTAACCATGTCATCTTTTCTTTTATTCTTTTTACAGAATGCAGCTGCGTGACAGGGTTAAGTTTCCTTGAACCACTGTCTTTTCTCCCATTACTTAAGCCATTTCTAGTCTCACAATAGCTGTCTTACTGTTCACTTTTTGAAACCACCTGTAGAGCTTGGCAGATCGAGCTGCATCTGAATGAACTGAAGAGGTTTTTTATTACTAGCTGTATCAAAACTCATGTTTATGTTAGCTCTCATTAACGTATGCTCAAATCAGAGTGACCCCAGATCATGTAATTACACACCCTAACATATCAGCACATGAAAAAACTTTAATGAGACCAATTTCACTTTATGTTAGCTATTTAGAAGCTAAATGTCTAATCTAAGGTAGCTATATAGGCTCCTCCTTCTATACTAAATGGAGAAAATAAAGGTTATTTGCCTGAAGAGTTACTTTTCCCATCTAAAGACAATTTCTGCCTTTCGAAAGCGGCAGAAGTACCCTCCAGGGGAGCCCTGCTCTTGGTGTTGACTGCAGTTGAAACCCAGGGGACTAATACATGCCAAGCATACACATTTTAGACAGCTGATATGAGATAAAATAAATCTCATCCTCATCCCTAATGATCAATGCTGTTATGATCTCTACCCACATTATTTTTGTGTGTTCTGTAGCATTTGGTATGACAAAAAATTCAAGATCTTTTTTTTTTATATAGTAGTTAAATCCCAACTCCATCATAACTCACTGCAGTGCAGAATCCTTACTCTACCAAAAGATTCAAACAACCAAGAGAAAAAGCACTATCACAAAGCTGCCTTCTGCAAGACTCCACAGTATGAAAAGGGAAACAAATACTCATCAGATAACCCGTTGAACAAACCATGCTATTTATGCTACATATATACAGGACACGATACATATGTCTCTCTCATATATATATGAGATACTGAGTTATCTTGGGCAGTCTATATGCAAACCAGATCAAATAAATAAAAAACAGGCCAACCCATGACATAGGTCAAAAGATTTAGTATCTGGAACTTGGGGCTGTGAACAAATAGAGAATTTTAAAGCTTTCCTAATATCAAAAGTTACTCACCTTTCCTCTATAATCCCCATCACATTTTACATAAGAAAGCAGAGTTCAAGAGTAACTAATACAGGAAGGAACTTGGAAGTTTTATTTGCAGATCTGCAGTATGGGGGCATGATTTTATATGTACCATATCATATAATCCCACACGATTTACCAGTACAAAACTCCTGAATCTGTATCTAGGATCATCACAGGGGTGCACATTAAGTGTGGAACAATATTAAAGGTATTTCTGTAGTGGAACAGGAAAAGCTAGGGTTCACACAAGGCAGGAAATAATACACGCAGTCATGGACCAAGCTTGGTGAAAGCTACTCATCCCCAGGTATTTATACAAACTGCTCCTGCAGCAGAGAACTGATGACATGAACCTTTGGCTAAAGGATCATGTGAAGAAGCTGGGGATGGTATTCACATGAAAGCAGGAGGCAGAGAAGGATGCCTTGTTACACCTACAAGCAACAGCTTTACACCTGTGACTGTATCATGAGCTCTAACTGCAACAATTTTGGCACAAAATCTGCGCAGCAATTACACTTTGGTCATATGATGAAAATAACAGACATCAGCTTTGGGCATGCAGGTTATGTATCTTCCCTGCTGAGTATCAACAGAGTTCTGTTTCCCTTACTATAAGCAACTCAGTCTAAGTACCACACAACGTGTGTCCTGGGCAAGTGTGGGCTGTATGTCGTTCATATCATAGAGCCAGTCAGACTCTCAGGCCTGACCCATTTCCAGTACCTCATCAGCAATTATTAAAATTTGAATGCTCCTTTGAATTCTCCTTTGCAAATGAAGTAAAATGAAAACGTGTTCAAGGCCAGGTTGGACAGGGCTTTGAGCAACCTGGTCTAGTGGAAGGTGTCCCTGCCTATGGCAGGGGGGGTGGAACCACATGATCTTTAAGGTCCCTACCAACCCCGACCATTCAATGATGATTCTATGAAAACAATTAAAGCCTACACAAAGCCAGAGGCTAGGACATTCTTGTTTGCTCTGGCCAAAGAGAAAACTACTGGAAAATTTCCTCAGTACTTGTGCTTGAGCACAGATGCCAGAAATCTCTGTTTCTCCATAGCAAGAGTTCTTTTCATGCTTTTAAATTTATTTACAAATCAAATATTCTTCAAGTGAGTATGTTTTACAGGATCCCCAAGAGCATCATGAATGACAAACCAAAGGGCTAGAACTCCTTAAGTGATTATATAATCTGAGAGTTGCAAACCACTGGGATTTTACTGTATAACCCTGATGAGGACAAAAAGGAGCCCTGCATTATTAATATTAGCTCTGTTTTATTTTTTCTGTTTTTAAAAATAAAACTCATGCAAAAGCACTTACTCTGAAAGCTGTTCACTGAGAAGATGTTGGGATCATAGAATCCAGCTTTGCAAATACACTTGTAGGCTCCAAGCACAAATCCAAGGCCTTTAATTGGCATGCACTGTGAGAAAGGGAAGAAGGAAAATCATGTAGATGATTATACAACTGTATACTCAGATGTACATTCAAGCATAAACACATTACAAGATACTGTGAGGAGACTTCTAAGAAAAAACAGGCAGCCCTTCCAGTCTGACAGTATTTTCTTAGTAACTTTTCCCCCAGTCATATACCACTCCAGGTTTTTTTCTTGTTGTTCATCACGACGAAGAGCTGTAATCAAGTCTGTCCCACTGATAAAACTACCAAGTGCCAAATTTGACTCTTGTACTTCGGCTGTAGGTGGGACATGAGACGGCTGTGCTTTTTCCTGAGGAGTTTCCAGCACTTTTCCCCAGCACATTAGGTAGGTTTCAGATGTCTGGAGCTCGCACTACCTGAGGAAGAACACGGACACCTGCAGCCAAGTCACCAAACTTCTGCAAGCAGCATGTGCTGGTACTGGTGCCCCCACCACAACAGCAACCATAGAGGAGTGGAGGCTGACCCAGTCAAAACAAAGCCAACAGCTGGTTAGAGAAAAGTGCTGCAGACCTAAATCCAACCTACATGAACGACAGCAAACCTACACCAACAGAAGCCTCATGTTTCTGAGCTCTCTTGTCCCTTTTTGAGGAAGTGATGTGAAACAAGTTTTATTTTAACTTCACTTTTGCTTAATTTTGACATCAGGACAACCACAGCAAATTTATTACAGTGACAGAACATCTACTCTCAGACCACTTCGGTACAACAAATAGACCCTGCCTAATACAGAGGAAAGAAACAGTTCATCAACATAAAGGTAGAAACACTAGTAAGATGGTTTTGCCCCAGTACAGCTTATTTCACTTTATCAGATCAAAGTAGTTTACTGTACTAGATGCCTTTCCCTTCCATATAGGTGTACCTATATCAACTTGCCTCCATGAACAGGAACAAGACGCTAGCAGTTCCTCAGTGAGCAAGTGAATAATTTAACTAAAACACCCTCTGTTCTCTCACTTCCTTACATTTCACTTGTCTGTGACCGTGACTTTAGAATACACTTCGATCTCTTAATGCCTGTGATGGGGAAGAATATGCAGAGGACATGCCTTGTTAAAAAAACACTTCATTACAAAAATCAAAACCACACCAAGACAGGACAAGTCTGCAATGACACTCAAGAAAAACTGAATTTTCTTATCTCAAATTTCAGCTTTCTGCCGTAATTCTGCCTGATGTTAGGAAAGTCACTCTGCTTTTCTTTGCGTCAGTTCCCCAAATGGCATTGTCTTTTCTTTCACCCTTTGCCAATCTGATGCCCATGCACGCACTGCGGATCTGTAGGTGCTATTGGAAAACAACTAATAAGCAGGAAACTGGCATGCAAGAACAGTGAAAATTCATTCAGCCCTTGTATAAACATGAAAGCAAGAAAAAATGGAAAGAGAAGGCACAAATCATTTTCCTTCACACTTCATCTTCACCCTACAGAAATGTGACTATTGACAGGCTGGAGTACAGGAGAAATCAAAGTGGGATGAGTGTGTGTGAGAGTCCAATAAGAGCAAAACTCCTTAACCAAGCACAAAAATGAAGTTAAAGTAATAAAAAGAATTTTTCTAGGGAAAAATCTGTTCTGGCTTTCTGACATCTTGCTTTGTAACGAGAAGGTACATGCTGCTATAGAGACTGCATTTTCTTTTTGAAGGCAAGGAAGAAAAGAAGTAGCTTCCACTGTATTCTGAGAACACAGGAGCAGCCTTAATACCAAATCCATGATCCACTTCCACTGAACAAATTCTTCATATAAAATGTATCACAGACGCATGAATCTGTTCTGCCTTAGAATGAATGCCATATTGATGATCCCTTCAAACACATCCAATATCACACCAAAAAAAATGTAGTCTATAAAAATCTGTAACTTTTATTGCCGCTGACCAGTCTGGAACTTTAAATTCAGCAGAATACTACAAAACATTGTCTTTCCTTGGTCTAGAACATTATCATTGTTTCCAGTCTTTGGCAGCTGTAACGCACACCTTAAAAAAACATTGGTCAAATTCTGTTTCTTGCGGTCTATATAATCCCATGCAAAGGTGTACTAGGGATCAGAAGGTCAGTCTGCTATAAGGAGAGAAGAAAAGAAGGAGAGAAAGCAGCCTAGATCCCACTAGATGCAGTTTCAAACTCTGGAATTCCATGTGGCGTAACATTACATGGAAACAGAACAACTTACAGCCCTACTTTTTTTAACAAATTGCAGCAGCTATGCAAGGAACTGCACTAAATATCATGTGGCCAAAAATGCAGAAAACACTTTTCCTGGAAAGAAAAAAATCCCCTTCTTTTTTGCCAGTGATTTAACGGTTACTTATTATATTAACCAATGGTGGCAAATATTATGGTGAAAAAAGTAGTAAGTAAACTAAGAGTTTGCTGGTACAGAAGGAGTTTAGCAAACCAAGCCCAGATTTGTTTAATCAAGGTTCTTTTGTCAGATATAGAGGCTTTTCCTGGCTGTCTGTACGCGACTTCACATAATGCATAGCAGGCACATCCAACCAACTTTTCTCCTTGTCCTGGCAAGAAGCACCCTGGTTTCCAGCGACCCCATGGCAGATCCCAAGACAACCTTGTAAAGGTGTACTAGCTCAGCCATGGCAGCCTACAGCATCAGTTGGGGGCTTCAGACTGTCAGGACCACAGAGACTGAGCAACTCACAACAGACCATGCAGACACAGCCAGTAAAATATTAATCTGCTGTTAAGTTACTTAAGATTTGACCCATAAAGAACTTAGCGCTAAAAAAAGCATGTGTGAAAAATATCTGCCTCCACATAAGCAAAAAAAGGAAGCATACAACTGACCTGGTTTCAGATTTTGTTATAAATGTGAAAGCAAAGCTCTGGGAATAAAACCAGCATCTTCCTGCGTACTTTTTTTCTTCATCAGCAGTCATCAGCCTTTTTAAAATCATGCCTAATTTAATTCATAAGAGCAGCTACCATAGGTTAGATTAAAAGCCTCATTTACTCTTGTATCACATCTCTTACATGCCCAGCAGTCAGTGTCAAGGCAAAAAGTGAAAGATGCAGGGTGGCATCTTTCCCCCCATATACCCTTCAGGACATCATTCTCCTAAATGGAATTGGTATTGCTTTACCTTCCAGCCATTAGTACTTATAAATGGCTTGGTTACATTAAGATCAGCTTTATCATAATCTGTGCTAAAAAGAGAATAATAGGTGGCTGTACCATTCATACAACACACTTATTTCATCTGTCTATTCCCTGGTATTATATTTTCAGCTTTAGAGTATAACATAACAACTCCCAGGCCTAACAGAGTATACTTTAAAAAAAGTCAGCTCAAAAAGAAGATATTCAGTGATTACTTACCTTGAAATTATTTATAAATATATAGCTCCTGAAGCAACACAGACAAAACATCTAAAATTTAAAAATAGTAAAAATAAAAATAGTTGTATTGGTTTAATTTTATGCTGCTTGTTGTAAAGGACAAAGTTAGAAAAATCTAATGCGATAAAGAATAACTCCGTTGGAAAGAAAATAAATCCTTCACATAACTTGTGCAATTGCTTTGGAAGTCTGAGACAAATCTTCAACATTTAGACAGGCAAAGCTCTTCATCAGATCTGATAGCCAGAAACTAAGAGACAAAGTATTCAGCACATACCAAAGCAGGTGTCAGATCCACATCAGAAAACAGAAGAGAATGGGCAAAAGAAACTAGTAGTTTAAGAGAAAGCGTGGGGCATCACATCCTATATGTAATTTAGAAAAGAAGATAAAACACTAACACTAAATAAATCCATTGCGTGGCATTCTGGAACAGAGAGGTTAAACCAGAAATTTTCGATTTTATTTTTTTTTTAAGTCAAAAAATGAGCCAGGCTTGACTTGAGTATTTCAATTTTTTCAAAGAGCACCTCTGAAAACCTGTATTTCCACATACAGCAATAAGGACATCTCCCTTTTCTAATGCAAACTCCTTGTTCCAAGGATGGAATACAAGCAAAGTCATGACAGATAAAGCTTTATAGAAATAATGCAAATAAGCCCATATTCTTTGCTCTTGTCAGGAGTAGCATATAGGGATTTTCTAGAAAATGCTACATATGTAATAGTCATTTTGTGCCTGGCATATGATAGCAGTTGGAGCAGACCGGTGTCCTGAGACCTTCTTTCTGATCATATTTACCATGTGGTCAAGCACGCTCACTCATAAAAATAAATGAAAGAAGATAAAAGAGTAAATTCTCTCTGCCAAAGTCAGTGACAGCTCTGTCACTGAAAAGGCTTTACCCACTGCATTGTCGCATTTCATTTACCCTTCAAGAGCAGTTTTGTGTTGCTGTGTGTTTGCAGCCTCAGAAGTGAACAGCGAGCACATCTGTGCATCCGAGAGCCTTGTGCATCGCCCGGGAGCCCTGTACTTGCTTCCAGCCAGCTCAGGAGGCAGCCAGCCTCCCAGCAACACTAGTCATAAGCTTTTTCTTTTCACATACAAACTTTTGTTTCAAAAGGACAGGACAGTGGTTGCTACTCCATAATTTACACTGCATGGTTGCATGATAGGCCCTATAGCTTTCGTTGTCCCTTCTGAGTGCGCTAGTAGAGTTAATTATTTTTTAAATTCAAGTTTAAAAATGTGTTTTCCAACAACAAGGGACTTCCACTGACACTGAGTTGGTTAAGCCCTGAATCAGGCAAATCACGGCGACAGTTGATCTGATTCAGCTTAGAGCAGAGGTAGCCGTCAGGACAATATCTGCCTTGATAGTTTGAGGCTTTGCTAAAAATTCCCCACTGTTTTTTAATGTGACTTTTCACTATTTCAGTTTTGTTAAGCCATGGGATAAGAGTCAATACCAATGGTAAGGAGCCTCAGCCCATTTACACAAATAATTATAAATTACATGTGACTACTGACAAACCACAAACAGAAAAATCACCAGCTGGAGCAGAAGGCATTCACTAAGCATAAGAGACGGCAGCGTCTTTAACTT